AGAGGTTGGGTAAATGGCATCGGTCTATGATAGCACAGACAGCAGAGCCAGGATGACATAAGAAGCTGTGGAGTGGCAGCACAGTTTAAGGTTAGCACTGTCCAACAGAAATATAATGCAAGCCACAAATGCAAGCCCATATGTAACTTTAAATTTTTAGTAGCCACATTAAAAAAAGTAAAAAGAAGTAAAATTAATAATATATTTTATTTAGCCCAGTATATTAAACGTCGCGCCTGCTGAAACTCCCCCTCCCCCCCCCCCCCTCGGGGAAATGTGCGTTACTGCCTGAACCATCCCTCCCCCGACCCCGACCCCGTCCCTGGAAAAATTGTCTTCTACAAAACCTGTCCCTGGTGCCAAAAAGTTTGGGGACTGCTGCTCTAACCCATGCATTTCAGCAGGGGCGATGTTACCACCAAGGGGGCAAAAACTGATTCTTGGAGGGTAGGGACAAAAGTATCTTAGATATTATAATGGTTTGTGGCCTTCAAAGGGCCACAGAACATGAAGAGACATACAGTATTATCTGTGGCATTAAAATTTCCTGGAGTGAGTGATTAGGACAAAGATGTCTACAAAGGCTCCTTAGCGGGGCAATACTGAAAAAAAGGTGGAGAAACACTGCTCTACCCAAACTGTGCATGCTGGGAAACTTTAGGGGATGATCCTGGACCCATGTCTCTTCTCTCTTTATATTTTCTCTCTTAACGATCTCATCAATTTCCACAGATTTAAATACCATTTTTATACTAACGACTCCTAAACTCCTATCTTGAATTTCAGTGTCCTCTGGAACTCAGGGTCTCTCAAATCTTCTAAGTATTTTCTTTTCTTAATGTTTCCTTCATCTTCTGCCTAAATGAAATTTGGCTCTGCCTTGATGACACTGCAGCCCTCTCAAGTGATGTCTTTTCTCTCTCATGCTTCTTTACCGGTGAGCCTGGAGGTGGATCTACTTGCTCCTTAGGGTCATTCTTTCTCTCCCTCCTCCCTAAAACTCCTCACTTTTAAAACTCATGCTATCATATAATACTACCCATTATCCACCCACCTGGTTATAGTTCTCTACCAACTTTCAGGTCAATCTGCCTCATTCCTAGCTCACTACCTCTCTATGACACAAATCCTGCCATAATTTTTGATAATTTCAATACTCATAGAGATGACCCATCTAATACCCTGGACTTTCTGTTCCTTGCCTCTTTTCCAACAAGAATCTTATATTCCACCTTTTCTCAGAAACTCATTCCCTATGATCATACAGCTTTGTTATTACCAGGCTCCAAAAATTCTTCAGCTGTATCAGGGCCTACAATCCACTAAATCCCCTCACATTTTTCTTCAACATATTTATATCCTCATTTCCTCTTTATGCAACTTAACTATCATAGTTCATCATTATAACCACTCTCTACACATACCTTCAATTTCCTAGACTCTTTCTTCAACATACTCACTTGGTAAAAACCCAGCTCTGGTTAAATCCTGCTCCTCCACTATTCAGGCCTATACTCATGCAGCTGAGTGTGACTGAAGAAATCATACTGCCAACGTTGGCTGGTCTCACTAATCCCAGTGGTAATGCCCAGGAATAATACTTCATCTCCCCATTCACCTCCAACTTGTCTAGGCAACTATTTTATACCTTCTCATCTTCAACAACTCCTCCTTCATCTTCACTCTCAGCTGATGACCTGGTTTCCTGTTTCACTGAGAAAATAGAAGCACTCAAAAGACCTTCTATAAGTTACCACACCCACATCTGTCCACCTACCTGCATCTATTTTTAATACATTCTATCTTCCCTCCTATTGCTAAGGATAAAGTATCTGTACTGCCTAAGACTAAGTCTTCTATTTGTCTAAAATACTCTTTTCAATTCCTTTCCTTCAATTTTCTCTTTTTAAAAACAGCTTTATAGAAATGTAATTCACATACCATATAATTAACCCATTTAAGGTGTACAATTCAATGTTTTTAAAGTATATTCATAGCATTGTGAAATTATCATCATGATCTAATTTTAGAACATTTTGGTCTCCCCTTAAAGAAACTCTATACCCATTAGCAGTCAATCTCTATTTCCCCCGTATATTCCCAAGTCCTAAGCAACCACTAATCTACTTTCTGTCTCTAAATTTGCCTATTCTGGACATTTGATATAAATGGAATCATATAATAAGTGGTATTTTGTGACTTGGCTTCTTTAACTTAGCATAATGTCTTTAAGGTTTATCCATATTACAGCATGTATCAATACATTCCTTTTTATGGCTGAATAATGTTTCACTATGTGGATATAACACAGTTTATCCAGTCATCAGTTTATGGCTATCTGGGTTGTTTCCACTTTTAGGCTATTATTATAATGCTGCTATGAACATTCCTGTACAAGTTTTTGTGTGAACATGTATTTTTACTTCTCTTGGGTAAAGTTGTAGGATCATAGGTAATTCTATATTTAGCTTTCTAAGGAAGTTACAAACTGTTTTCCACAGTAGCTTCATTATGTTACATTCCTACTGGCTATGTACAATATATAAGGGCTTCTAATTTTCCCCTGTGCCCACTCCAGTCAGGTTTTTATCCTGTGGACTCGCTGAAGTTACCAATTACCTCCTTATGGCTCAATCAATGGTCAATTTTCATCCTGCGTGGCCTATTAGCAGCATTTGATTCAACTAATCTCAAACTCTTCATTGAAACTCTCCATTTAGATTCTAGGAAATTAGTCTTTGGCTTTTCTTCTATATAGTTGAACTTCTACCCATTCTTCTTCTTCCTCAGCTTCTAATCACTGGCACATCCAAGATTCAGTCTACTGATCTCTTCGCTTCTCTATCTACATTCATATTATTTGTGACTCAGTATAACTGTCATTTATATATGTTATCTGTTCCCAAATGTGTATTTACAGGTTAGATCTGTGCTGTCCAATAAAATAACTAGTAGTGACATGTGGCTATATAAATTTAAATTTAATTAATTAATAAAAATTTAATTTAATTTTAATTTAATTTAATATTCAGTTCCTCAGTCACATCAGCTATATTTTAAGATATCAAGAGTCACATGTGCCTAGTGGCTATGAAACTAGACAGCACAAAGTTTTACTGTACAGCACTGATTGAAACCTCTCCTCTAGACTCTACATTTATATATCCCACTGCCTCCCTGATATCTCCACTTGAATGCCAATAAACATCCCAAAACCAAAATCCTGATATTCCTCCCTAAACATGTTCCTTCCATTTTTTCTTGTTTCAGTTGACGTTAACTCTGTCCTTCCAGTTGTTCAAACCAAAAATCATGGGGTAACCCTTGACTTCACTCTCACTCCACATTCAACTGATCGGCAAATTCTGTCAGCTCTATATTCAGAATCTGACCATATTTTATAATCTCCACTTCTACTACCCTGCTTGAAGCCACCACCATCTTTTGCCAGTTTCCACAGCTTGCTAACCAATCTCCCTGCTTCTGCCTTTACACCACTAAGTTCTATTTTCAACCTAACAGCCAGAGAATTCTTGTTAAACTCAAAGTCAGATCATTAGTCCTCTGTTCAAACTCCTTTAATGGCTTCCCAATCACCCACAGCAAAAGTCAAAGTTGCTATAATAGCCTAGGATACTGTACGATATGATCCCATTATCTCTAATCTCATCTCCTAATACTTCCCCTTTGCAGTCCTTGGCAGTCATACTGGCTGTTCATCAAAAGCACTAAGCATATTTCAGCCTTTTCCATGAAATATAATTTAGAAATCACAAAGTTTAAGAATCACCAAGCTAGAGTAAAAGAGGTTTAAATAGAAATTCTATTTCCAGACATCTAGATATTGAAAGTAATCTACACTTAACTATGAGGTTCCCTAGCCAGTGAGTGGGATTAAATGACATTAATTATATAAAGAAAAAGGTCTTCCAGGGCTTCCCTGGTGGCGCAGTGGTTGAGAGTCCGCCTGCCGATGCAGGGGACACGGGTTCGCGCCCTGGTCCGGGAAGATCCCACATGCCGCAGAGCGGCTAGGCCCATGAGCCATAGCCGCTGAGCCTGCGCGTCCGGAGCCTGTGCTCCGCAACGACAGAGGCCACAACAGTGAGAGGCCCGCGTACCACAAACAAAAAAAAAAAAAAAGAAAGAAAAACGTCTTCCAAAAGCTCTAATCTCAATTACTTCACTAAACCTACACCTCACAAAAAAAAAATCAGTTAGCTAGTTGTCTGGAATGGCATAAATAAACTAATCAGCTAATAAAATTTTTTAAAATAAAAATTTAATTACTAAACAACTGTAAGAATATGGATTAAGATTTCCAATTTGGTAATAAATATATAAATTCTTATTTGCTAAATTGTAAAAGACCGCAGGATGATATACAACAACCTGCTCTGTAAACAAGTTCTACTCAAAGCAACTGGTCTGCAAACTGTGTAGTACGGTCTGTTTTGAAATAAGAATCTTGCATAAGAATGCAATTCAATACACTGCTTCCTTCATCAAGAAAAATTGGCTATCAAAAAATTTCAGATGGACTAAAATGTTTTACACTCTAGTATAAGCCTCTATTTCACTGCAGACTGGTAACTAACATTTTATAGACTGACAGAGGTCCATGAATCATATTTTGGGTAGCACTGCTCTAAATCACCTCCTGGGTTTTAATTCAAGTCTACTCAATATTTTAAAACACTACCTACATTCAATGTTAGAGTTTTTGTGCCACTTCCCATTCTGTAGTTTATTGGAATTAATATGTACCTTGTTGTTTTCTAGATGTCACTAGTCTCTTTATTTATATTAAAGAATTTTAATGCTGGTCAGAAAGAAGGCATCCAATAACAGAAACATACTGATAAAATTTTTTAATTAAGAGATTAAAAATTATAACTTAAAAATAGCCTCAAAAAGGTGAAATGTGGTAATATATTAGCTTTGAAAACTTTGATTTATTTTGAAAGAGATATAAAAATCATTCACTTTTCAACACTAACCTAAATATTCCATCAGCTGTTCAGCAGTTATGATTTCCATCATCGGTGGAAGTTTCACCTGAAAAACAAAGTATTTTTCTATAAAATCAAATGTTTTAGATAATTAAAGTGTTTCTTCAGTCAGAAACACAAGTATGTATGTGTATTATATGTATCTACTATAGGCATACAACACTCACATTTAAAAATCTTTGTAACTAATCTTTAATACAACAAAGCCAATCCTATCACCATAAAATTTACAGGGTGATACAAGATCTCAGAGAGTCAATGAGAAATCTATTTTCAGAGCCAAGTGCTATGCCTTTCGTCACCCATCCTGATTGTCATTATGCACCTGCAGCAGTGTCCTGCAGGATAGAAAATACAGTTTAAGGGCAGGAAGAGGCACTGAACATGTTTTGACAGGTCACCCATGCAGCAGTTTTACTGAAGACAGGCTTAACACAGGTCAATATTCCATTACTTCAGTCTACCTGGGCCATTTTTTTTTGTTGAGGAGCTAAAATGGATACAGTATAAAGGATGGTCATAAACTGAAGGATTCATACTATATGAGTCAACCTGTAAAATTTAAAAACAGGCAAAATTAAACTTTACTGTTTAGAGCTGTACATGTATAAAGAAAAGAAAATGGGTACTATAAAAATTAGAATGGTGGTTAACCCTAGGGATAAGAGAAGGAGTTATAGTTGTAACAGGACATGTAAGAGGCCTCTGGGGTGCTGGCAATGCTCTATATCTTGACTTGCATGGTAGTTCCACTGTTTGCTTTACGATAACTTGTTAAACTGGACATCTCTGTTTTATGTACTTTTCTGTATGCACTATATGTCACAATAAAAAGGTTAAAAGTAGATATATACGTTATAGTCATATTTAAGTTTCAAAAGTTATGTCAGCTGCAACACAGTCTAAATGAATTTTTCAAATGAATTATCAGATGAATTACACAGATATTACAGCCAATGATTGTAAATACTTTAGCTGACTTATTGAAAAGCATACTCCTTGGTATATTCATGGAAGAAAAATAAGTACTGTAGGATGCAAACTCGAACAAAATAATTAACATAGCAATGACAGAATAGCAGCATAATTAAAAATTCCTCAGGAATTACTATTTCAGGATCATTTAAATCAGCAATTTCTCCAACAACAAGTGTTGAAGAAGGTGCTCTGGATCTTTATGTTACCAAATGTAGTAACAGTATGTCACAATTTTTTTTTTAATCAATGAATAAAGTAAGTGCTAAAAAAGATCCCTGTAAAACAAAACAGTTTTAGACCCTCTGAAAGCATACATGACAGTTGGTACTTATGAGTTAGTCATCCAGTGGCTTTATCACTCAGTGAAAACCAAGAGTTGCCATGGAGGTTTTGATCATTACTTGTTTCTAAATTATTCTTATTTTCTAGGACACTTTTTAAAATTGTAATAGACTTTTTTTTTTTTTTTTTGGCTGCGCCGCATGGCATGCGAGATCTCAGTTCCCCGACCAGGGATAGAATCCACGCCCCCTGCAGTGGAAGCGCAGAGTCTTAACACCTGGACCACCAGGGAAGTCCCAGAAATTGTAATAGACTTTTTTTTTTGGAGAAGTTTTAGGTTTACAGAAAAATTCAGCAGAAAGTACAGAGAGTTCCCATAAAGAGTATATTTTTCAAATTAAAACTCATTGGCAAATTATAGTCCCCTGCTTGTTTTTCTAAATAAAGTTGTATTGGGTGTCACTCTCATTTGTTTATGTACTGTCTTTGGCTGCTTTTGCACTATAATAACAGAGCTGAATCTTTGCAACAGAGACGATAAGGCCCACAAAGCCTAAAATATTTACTATCTGGTCCTTTACAGGAAAAGTATGTTGATCCCTGCTTTAGATGATTTTAACTACTTTTAGATAATATTTTATCAAGGTGTTTCAATACCACTTTGAAGGTCTGATATTTAAACCAGCAGTTTATATACACTGTGAATATTTACATTCTGAATAACTGTCAGACCACTCTGAAAGTCCAGTTTTCACCTAACAATGCTTCTTAAATGAGACCTATATATTCTTTTATTCCAGATAAATTCAGTGCAGAAATATATTCACCAGAAAATTCCATAAACAAATAGCTTATCCTCTTTTGGTCAATGTAGTAATCCCACTATAAAACTGTCAATAAGAAACCAAGGCACTAACAAGTGTATGTATTTGGGAAATACATTCTACAATCCTAGATTTCTACAAATAGATGATTTCAGGGTTTAGTCTTGAAATTTCCAAATAATAACAACTGCCTATCATGTCTTGCTTCAAACATTTGAAATAGGAAATGACAACCTTTATAGAGATTTTAGAAGTGGGACAACAAATACGCAAATATTTTAACTATTCCCAAGCATAATGAGTGGTATATTCACTTCCCGAGAATCTTGGCCAACAAAATATTATGGATGTTCACTAAAGCTAGGGACAAAAGAGTATAATAGTGAAGAAATGTCTGCCTCCCTCCCACTAATACTTTGGAGCCATCAACAGATCTTAATTTTTTTTAACCACAAAATGATCTTCCTGAATGCTTGCTTCTCTTTTTGCTTCCCTCTACCACCATCGCCACAAAAGCAAATGCTGAAGATTTTGTTAATGATCCTAAGACTTTCTCTCCTTTGTCTATTTAGAGTCTATTAAAGAAAAAACAGGTTATGGGAAAGTTAGCTAAGGATACAGAATTTAAAATTGTGGCATTCTGTCTGAATCTCTAAATTTTAAATCTTATGATGAAAAACAGACAAACAAATGAAGTATGACCTAGGTTCTCAGATGGTCCTCTTTTAGTAATAATCTATAACATATCGTTTACAAGTAAATTAATGTATTCAAGGACACCTGGAAGGTACTCTAAGTAGTTTAAATATTCTTCCTAAAATTTGAGCAAAACCTCTCAGTACATATTCACACACAGTTTCAAATTAATAGAGTCCAAATAAAATGAAGCTTTTATTATCTAGGAAAATAAATTATGTCCTATCCTATAAATATTTTATTATTCTAACTAGATTTCTATTAAAATTAATATTTAAATAAAATATTTAATATTAAACACTTAAATTAACAAAAGAATATTTAAATTAACAAAAGGAAATAGCTACTACAACTCCATATATTCAACTATAGGATAAAACATCATTAATTCAGCCCAATTATTCTGTAATTCTTAGTCATTCGAAGAGTGACGTGTACTTGAGAACAGACTCGAGAGACCAAAAATAAAAATAACAAAACCTGCTTAAAGTGTTAATATCCTGAACAGAAATGTAAAACATCTCAAAAGTGATATGCCAAGATTCTGATACCTATAATTTTGATATAGGGGAGAGGGGGGGAAAAAAATGCAGGGGACCCAGTAATAACAAAGAAATAAGGAACAGTCTATATAGCTAATGGTAAGTATGAAAATGACCAGCCAAAGAACATTGTTAAATGTTTAATTAGAATACCAATTAATAAGTACTCAAGAAATACAGTTTGGGGCTTCCCTGGTGGCGCAGTGGTTAAGAATCCACCTGCCAATGCAGGGAACATGGGTTCGAGCCCTGGTCCGGGAAGATCCCACATGCTGCGGAGCAACTAAGCCCGTGTGCCACAACTACTGAGCCTGTGCTCTGGAGCCCGCATGTCACAACTACTGAAGTCAGCACACCCTAGAGCCCGTGCTCTGCAACAATCAATCAATGTGATACACCACATTAACAAACTGACAAAAAATCATATCATCATCTCAATAGATGCAAAAAAAGCTTTTAATAAAATTCAACATCAATTTATGATAAAAACTCTCAACAAAGTGGGTATAGAGGAAACATACCTCACCATAATAGAGACCATTTATGACAGGGCCACAGCTAACATCATACTCAATGGTGAAAAGCATTTCACCATTTCCTCTCAGATCAGGAACAAGACAAGGATGCTCAATCGCTTTTGTTTTTTTTTTTTTGGCCACCCAGTGTGGCTTGTAGGATCTTAGTTCCCAGACCAGGGATTGAACCTGTGCCCCCTGCAGTGGAAGTGGGGATTCCTAACCCCTGGACCACCAGGAAATTCCCATTACCACTTTTAATCAACATAGTATTGGAAGTCCTAACCACAGCAACCAGACAAGAAAAAGAAATGAAAGGAATCCAAACTGGAAAAGAAGTAAAACTGTCACTGTTTGCAGATGACATGCTATACACAGAAAATCCTTAAGACACCACCGAAAAGCTACCAGAACTCATCAATGAATCTGGAAAAACTGCAGGACACCAAATTAATATACAGACTTCTAAAAACAGCAACACTTTCTTTCAATGAAATCTTATATAAAACGTTATCTGAAATATATGTATATATATATATATATGTGTGTGTGTGCGTGTGTATTTTTTTTTGGCTGTGCCGCACAGCATGTGGAATCTTAGTTCCCCAGCCAGGGATCAAACCCGTGCCCCCTGCAGTGGAAGCACAGAGTCTTAACCACTGGACCTCCAAGGAAGTCCCGTGAAATATATTTTAAATGAAGAACTGACAGAACTTTGTGACCAGTGAAAAGTGAAGGATGATGGGAAAAGAAAAATTGAAGTTGACTCTAAGGCTCAGGGAACTCTAAAACTTAAGATCCATACATTTAATAAAAATAAGACATTTGGTAAGGGAAGGTAAGTCTGTAGAAGAAAATGATGTCTGCTTCATAACTGTGAAATTTAGTTTGACATTCAAACAGAAAGTTGAGTTGGAACTCAGGAGACAAAATTTTTTTTTTTTACTATTTAGTTAGTTAGTTGCACCAGGGGGGCTCCTTAGTTGCGGCTCACAGGCTCCTTAGTTGCAGCATGCAGGCTTCTTAGTTGTGGCATGCATGTGGGATCTAGTTCCCTGACCAGAGATCGAACCTGGGCCTCCTGCATTGGGAGCATGGAGTCTTAACCACTGTGCCATGCAGGGAAGTCCCGGGAGACAAATATTTTTAATTTGCCCGTGAATTATTTGATTCCTGTGCTGTAGTCTGTTTTTGCATTACTTGTGGTAA